AAACTCTACAGAAACACCTGTAGCTCCAATTACAGGCATTAAACTCTCAGCTCTAAGCAATCTGTGGGTCTGTAGTTAACTAACCAATCTTGTGTATTTAGTTTCACTTGGGTTTCACTTTATCAGCTGCCTTAATGTCAGGTGAAAAGAAGCGTCATCATACAGTACTGTTGTGTTTAGACAGAGTTTTGGAAAACCAACTGAATTTAAATCAGAGGCAGACAAGGGGATGCTGAAAATGGCCATAATAAACTAAGCCACAAAGGAAAACGGGTTGAAATCTATTGTGGAGTCATGTTTGAGAAGGGTGGCTACCAAAAATAACCGCCTCTGGTCTGCCAAATTATGGGTGGACAGGCATTAAAATGGGCCTTGTTTTGTAACCTGCTATCTCTCCCAGCACATGGGGAGTCTTTCTTCACCAATTTCCTAAGACCTTCTTTCTTTGCATTGTAAAGCTGTCCCTAGTCAGTTCAGCGCCGTTCGCGAATGTTTTCTGGATGAGTGTGCACGGTATTGTTTCAGCTTTTTTAATCACTGACCAGCTGGCTCGTTAGTGAATGGAGCTGTGGGCCCCTGGCCATGTTTGATGTGAGGTCCTGGCAGGGCGCAGGGGTGGACTGCCTGCAGCCGGTGTCAGAGCAATTGAAGTGGCAACTGCAGAGTCCTGCCCTCCCCCCCCCTTACCCCCTTCCCAGCCGCGTACCCTCCACCACCATTAACATTAATTTCTCCTTGTCATATGTCGTTATGCACGTTATACCAGAGGAAATGACCGTTGGGTACTTTTTTTAAAAAAAAAGAAGATTGCTTGTGGCACTCGGACCCCCCTCCAGACGCCATCCCTGGGGTTGAACAAGTGGATACAATTAGCTGCAATCCGCAGACAGCTGCAGGAAAGTAGAGGCCCACTACCGGGGCTCACAGCAACATGTCTTTCCTGCTAGCAACAGCGTCAGCTATCAACATCTGCCATGCTCGGGCTTTAAAGGGGCACTATCTTATTTTGTGAGCCGTTGTCTTGTTCGTTACGGGGTTTATTTTCTTGGAATTTTGAGGAGCGATGAAAGAACTTTGTCTGTGATAACAGTTGCAGTTGTTATCCAAACACCCAGGTTCCGAACATGTGCTAGGTGGCTCAATTCTTATCGCTGTTGACCTAATTCATAAATCGAACTAAATGGTCGGAGAAAAAGAATTGGCAAGTGTATTTATATACAGTATGTAGTTCCAGTATGCCGAATTACTGTATGTTGTCGGTTAACAAATCCCATGGCCGAGAGAGTTCAATCCGAAGGACATTTCTCACCAGCTCTCCATCTTATGAAGACAGTTGTGCCAGAACTTCTGTATTTGTCTTGTATTTCATTTCTTGCTTTACATCCTTTTAAGTCCACCTTAATTTAGTCTTCTCTGAATCGTTCAGTGTAGTGAAACTTTGTTTGTTTAAGCAGTTGACTGGACAGCTCTGTAGTGTTGCTGTTTCTTCCCAGTTTTGCATGGAAAAGGGTTTTAAATGCCTAACTTAATGGAAGGATCATATTTCAACCATTGCAGTGTTCACTAATCTATTAAAACGTTTAGGTCATTCTGAACTGAACAGCTGGAGCATTTTAGTTTGCCTCTGCAATTTTATTTTACCTAAAAACAACTGCATACATTAATATGGACCATTCAATGACCCAAAGACATGAGTTATTTGTAACTAGGTAACTAGGCACAGGTGTTCTGTAATACTTGAAAATGTGTTTGTGTCCAATTTAAAAAGAAGAAATATTGGGACATTCATTCCACAAAGCTCACAATACAATACATATGTGAAAACCCATTCCTTATTCAAGCCTTCTTTTAACAGGAGCACCAATTACCAAAATATAACAAATGAAGTTCCCTCTGAAATATTCAAGAAGCTGTCCTGCTTTCAAACAACCTTATACCCCTGCTTGTCTGTATACATCCTGTTCTGCAGTCTTGCCTGGAGTGTTTTCCAGGACGTGCTCTCCTACCCTTGCTGTCTTGAATTTGTCTTCCTCCTGAAGGATTCTCTCTGTCTCCAACTGTTGCAGCCCTCTCAGGCGGACTCTCTATTCCTTGGCCGTGACTTTCCGCCATGCCTGTAACAGCAAATAATAATCTTTCTCTGTTTTCAATCATGATCTTGATCTTGACCCCTCACCCCACTGCTGAGGCCTCTGGGAGGCGTAGTTCTTTAATTCTACAGAACAGTTCAGCACAAATCCAAACCTTCAGGCGCACAGAACCTCGTTGTGATTCCAGGCCTTGTGTTGTATCAGTTTCGATGGACTTTTTCCAAAATGTATTTGAAGAAAGTCAGTCAGATTTCTTATTCTTTATTTCTAAATCAGTACATACACACTAGATACATTTCTATAGAAAGACCTGTATCATTTTCGGGGAAATTAACAGCTTGCATTAATTAGTGCCTATTAGTGCTGGTTGCCAAGAGGTGACAAACCAATTAAATTTTCAATTGCTGTTGAAAAAAACAGGTTGGATTTCTCAGCAGTTCAAATTTAAATGCAAACTATAAGTTGAGTGGAACAGTGTTGTGGTCAATATCATATCCCAGATCTAATCTGAGCATATTTGCTTGCATACTTGTGCACAGTGAAAGAATATCAAATTTGTACTTTCCAAGATACAAGATAAATTTTGTACACCCAAGATATACCCGTATGGTGTCATATCATTCAAATGTTGATGTCAGTAATAAAATTGGTCAAGTAGGTAGTTTTCATTATCTTTGTATTTCCATCACATACTTATTTTAGGCATTTTTTCTGCGAATACTTAAGCATATTTGTTTAGAGGTTACACACCAGTACACACCAAAATGCTATGCTTTGACATTCTAAGAACAAGACTCTATTCGATTATTCCTGAAAGGACTTGGCATCCTTACAGCCAAAATATGTTTAATTGGTGTCCTTTAAAGATTTAAGAAATACTCTACAAGAGACTCTCAATTTAACAGACTAATCAAGGTGTCCGTTGTCAAATCCCTGCTAAATCACAAAATATATTTTTTCAGCCAAATACAACCCAAAAACACAATATTACATGAGGCAGTTGATATAGTATTGATATATTTTATACACATATTATTGCTGGCAGGGTGGCACAGTGGGGTCCTGGGTTCAATTCTGGACCTGGGATACTATCTGCATGGGGTTGTATGGGCCCCAGGTGGACTTGGTATGGGCACAGCCACAGCCCAAGGTTAATTGGCATCTGGGAAATGTGGCCCAGGCGTGACTGTGTGTGTTGGTGTGTCTGCCCTGCGATAGATTGGCCTGCAGTCCTGTATCCTCTCTTGCTCCCACAGCTTGCCAGGACAGGCTGTGGCTACACTGAGACCCTGAATTGGATACAGCAGTTAGAAAATGGGTAGATAGATACATATACTGTATATGCTTTGACTTATTTTTTTTTTCATAAGCAACTTGCCTGCCTCTGTAGGACACCACTGATATTCCTGCATTTTAAACCTATGTAGTATATCATTTTACCTTATTTTATTATTTGTGCATATTGTGGAGATTGGTGTATATATATTGTTAGGATTTTAGTGATTTTTAAAAAACGTTTGTTTCTTAAAAATGTGCCAAAGTTTATAAAGCAAACAGCGCCCATTGTAAAGAGTTCTCCTATCACTGTACTGCCATATATTTTGTCCGTCACTGCAGGGCAGTCCTGTATTTCTAATTTTACAGACAAAACTCCTCTGTAGTAGATTTTGTCCATTAAATCTGAAGTCCACTAAAACCAGGTCTGTTGAACAGAGTGATTACTATATTTGCTTTTCAGTTTTGGTGGTCTGTTTGTTTGATCAGTGTGATCAGTCGTGCTTCCCTTTGTTCACGTAGGGGCTGTAAAATGTGTTATTTAAAATGTAAAATGCGCATTCTCTGACTAATGCTGAATAATTACTGTTATGTCTTTGCTCATAGAACTGGTACAGGTTTGTACAAGCTTGGTACCCGTATTTGTCAACCATTGCTGAACAGGATTAGCAGGTTTCTATAACTACATTGTGCACAATAAAACTGTTTAGGGGTGCAAGTAGCATGTTTTTGCTTTACTAATCTGACCCCATTTTTGACTCAGTTCTTTCCACGAGCTGTATGTATAGGGGCAAGGGCAAAGTCCACCATAGAGTAGTACAGTGTCATTGGAACAGAGCTCAGAGATGTTTGACTTCTTTCATTCAAAAAAGTGTTCAGCTTGAGCATACGAGTTTTGGATAAAAATATTATTTAAAAAAATATTTGTATACATTATTTGGAATGTAACATGTTGACATTGGAAAGGGGTGATTACATCTACTGGATGCTATATGTCATCCCAGTCTCATCCTAAATCAATTTCTGTGACTACAAAATTGACTTTTGCATAACATCAGACTCTTCTGTGTCTGGCCATATTCACCAGCTAGTTTCCATTGTACAGACCGTTGTGTAAAGTTTTGTGAGAATCGTATAATCAGATGTTTTCCTGTGCAGATTTGAAAGATAATGTGTAAATATCAAAATGTCTTCTAAAAAGAGCCAAGTAAGGAGTGCACCAATTCAAAATTGATATTTACCGAATTTTTGTCTGAAGTGAATCTTGATAAAGCTATGATCAGCTTGATTGTTAGTATGAATATTTGAAGAAGTGGGAAAATACATCCAGTCTTAAGTGAGCTGAATGACTTATGAGTTTGCTTTGGAAAACAGTACATTCTTTGCCTACCCATCTAGAAAAGCGGCTTACTTTGTAAAATTGAATTTGCCTGCGACTTAAATTTGATTTCTGAGGTTGTATTTTTCATCCTAGTGTAGGAGGGCCTTTTTGTAGACGTTTTATATGGCAGGTCATTTTTTTGTCAAGTGTTCACAAAAATAGTGATGCTTTAATACATCTTCCAAGCTCATCCAGGGATGCCGCAACAGATCGTGTTTGACCAGATTTTCTCTCCCCCTCTCCTGCCCTTCCAGGACATGATGTTCCAGCTTCTACAGGGACTGGACTTCCTTCACTCACACCGTGTGGTGCACAGGGACCTCAAACCTCAGAACATCCTCGTCACCAGCAGCGGACAGATCAAGCTGGCTGATTTTGGCCTTGCAAGAATATATAGCTTTCAGATGGCACTAACCTCTGTGGTAAGTCCGCAGGCTCTACAGTGCCACACGCTCGCTGCATGCCTGTTTCGATGGAGGGACGGTCTGGTATGGCTGGAACGATCTCTTTGACACAACCTCCGTCCACAGATCACAGTAACGGGGAACTCTCTGATTCCAAAGTCGGCATTGGTAAATGAGGGTACTAGGCTGATGTCGGCAAAAGTACACCTCCAACAGTTCGAGGGTCCGCGGCTCGTTGTCTTTATCTCACTAAGCCTCTTCTCCCGTTCTGCAGTAACAGTCCAGAAAACTACAGGTGACAAAATTAAGACTTCGTTTTGGTGTTGAATATCTGAAAAGTGTCTTTCGTGTTTGTTTGAAAGGCTTTGGGGGGGGGGGGAGGGGGCTGTTAGCTTCTGTATGAGTGTGCTGAACTCACCAAGATGCTGGAGGGTGAGAGAGTGACTGTTAAACATTTTAGTTTTGGGGAATTTGTGGACTTTGTTGTGAAGCATCTATTTTCTTGGTATAACAGCATGTCGCTTTCGAATATGAAAGAATCCCTTTTAAGCCTTTAAAATGCTATTGCTCCCACATTTTCTCAAAACAAAGGAGCCGTTCATCTGGGACAAAAGGCTTGCTAGTGAGCCTTCCTCTGAAAACCTGATCTCTTTTTCTCTCTCTCCCTCTCCCTCTCTCTCTCTCTCTCTCTCTCTCTCTCGCTTGCTTGGATCGGGCAGACCTGGAATATCAAAGTGAAGGCTCCTGGGCGGAAAATGGTTTGTGAGAGCAATGAATGGCCATGTATTCCCACTGGTGGGTTGATGAGTGCAGCAGGTTGCTGCTGTGAAAAGGGCCTGAGGTCTCTTGGGATGAGCTTGAAAGCTCACAATCAGATGCAGCCAGAGATGCCCTGTAAATAATGCGTTTTGTAAAGTGAGAACGATGGCTGTGGCTGTGAGCCTGACAAGCCAGAGAGTAGCCGTGGCTGAGATGAAGCAATAAAACAGGTCCTGAGACACAGCCTTTTGAGATGGAAGGTGATGCAGCTTTTCGGTTTCCTTTTGAAGTCAGATTTTCTTGCAGATGACTCTGATATCTGCAGATACGTTGGAAGCTGAAAAGGTTTTACGTTTCTCCAGGTCTGTTTCCTTAGGCGTGCTTTGAGGACCGGTGTGTTTCTTCAGATGTATTGTAGCGTTAGCTAAATGTGGCTAGAACTTTGGAGAGCTCACAGAAAGACTTTTTTTTCCCCTTGTGTCCGTAGCTGTTTTATTTTTCAGGTGAATGTGGGTTTTTTTTTTTCAGAAGAAGTGCATGCCATTTGAAACTGTAGACCTGACTTTTAACAAATCGCTTGCTTCATTGCAGACAATTGCTTCAAAGTGTTAAGCTTTCTCATTGTCCAAAAAAGGAGATCGGAGCATTAATTATATCATTACTAATCTGAGAGAGCGATTAATAATTATACATCTTAATTATGTATCTTTTGTTTATTATTTTAACATTCACAATTAAGAGTTTTTTACCCACTTTTTTGTTGCATTGCATTTTCAAGTGCATTTTCTCTTCTGAATCTACAGTTTATGCCTTCCAGGTGTAGGTTGTTAAGGTGCCAGGCGTAGGCAAATGTGTTATGTTTTTTCTTCATGTTTTAGAAAAAAAAGTGACAAAAGCTCTTTAAACTCCATAGCGTTACGTGGCATGCAAAACAATACCTTATACAGGAATTGGCTCCAGTTAGTTATTATGCGTAATTTCTCAATAGCTGCGGAATCTGTAGAATTTTGCTGTCTGGTTCAGCTCAATCAGGTTTAAAATTGGCAAATAAATCACTGTTAAGACTATTTTGTAAAATCACTTCATCAAAGCCTTTGCTATTTTGGATTCTATTTAGTCCTGCCAGTTTATGCATAGATTTTTTTCTTTAACTTTTGGGACAAGCAGGTCGTCTATATCTTGAAGCGGTTGTGAGCTACAGGTGACTAACCTAATTGCTGCCTGAGCAGATGCCTCCAGTTCACAAGACTGGTGCCTCCAGTTCACAAGACTGGTGCCTCCAGTTCACAAGACTGGTGCCTCCAGTTCACAAGACAAGGTCTTCTTTTTCAGGGAACAAATTCTTTTAAGTAAAGACTAAAATCAAGAAGTGTTTTTTTTTTGCTGTGAGATGCTAAGCAGCTCATATCCAGGTTCATTCAGATCTCCTTATTAAATCTTATTGCAGTGAAAGCATAATGCATAAAAGGTAGAGTAACATTCATGAATTAATAACAGTCGTAAAATAGCCGTTTTAATTAGCGGACTAATTCCTAGAACTGAATTACTATCTAGGAGGAATGTAATGAGTAAAACAACAGGGGTTTCTGGTTTTCCTCCTTCTCTGTTTTAGCAGGGCACTCATTTCTCTAGTAGCATATCTTTCAGTGATTCATTTATACCCTCATGATTTAAAATTAGCAGATGAATGCAGAATTAACGTTTGAAGCTACAGAACCGTTAACTGTCAGTTTTCAGGAAACCTTGCTCTTGCAGTTTAAAGGTGAAGACAGAAACTAGAAACTGTTAAAACATGGTGCTGTCTTCAGTTTGTCCTAAAAATGTTTTACCATCGTTGTAAAAAGTGGTAGCTTTTTTTGTACTACTGCATTTCACCAAAGCTAGGCAGTCTCTGATGTGTGTTTGTGTGTGTTAAGGAGGTGGTACAGTCGTCTTTGCTCACATGATGGTTGATCTTATCCACTTATGTGCATAATTTCATGGCCTTCTCCCTGACATTCCTAAATGTTCTTGATTGTCTCTCCCTTTCTCTTGTTCCCTCTTGTCTCCAACTGCCTTGTTGTGGGAGAGTAAGGTGCCTAAATGCAAATCAGACCACCCATTTGGAACGGCCCTGGTGGTGATTAGCAGTTCACAAACAATTCTGTATGGTGTCATTTATTGTTCTTCTGTAATTGATTGTTTCGTCACGAGTTTAGTCTCCTTGCAGATCTTTTGTTGTGCATGGCAACTAAAAGGATGGGTCTAAAATGAAACCCTGAAGCGTAGTGGGGGAGGAAGACTTTCCCCCTAATCTTTGTGAATGTGATCCTTTCTGTTGCCTCTGTTTCTCTAAAGATATCTTTTGACGCTCTGCTTGCAGACCAGACAGCAGTGCTAATCAGGAGGTCCTTACTTGTGTAGAATTTAGAAATACAGTACATGCCATAGTATTGTAATTCTCTGCATTTTTAAAATGAGGTGTATGCACAATGGTGCCGGCAATATCTTAACTTTTTGGAACTTCGTAAGCAAACATTCTGGTTGCACTTTATTAACATATTCAAAGGAATGTGTGGGTTTCGAACGGTCTCCTTGTTGAAGCTGATACCCTGGCCTCTTTTGTGAAATGACCAGATAAGACTCTCTAATCAATTACTACCAAATGGACCAGCTACACTGGCCTCTCGGTTGTAACGTTTTAGTTCCTTTTAGTTTTCTAAAGTCAGTTGCTTATGATGAATCACCTGCACTTTCCTGGTATTAACTTTCTTACTCATCATATATATTATCATACTCATTTCATAGGATTCTTTTTGGAGCTCCTACTCACATTTTTCCTTGTCATATGGATAAATTGGTCCTGCACAAATTCTTGTGAAGACACTTTTCTGTCCTGATCATTGATTGAAGGATGCTGGTGAAGGAGTCTTCAATTGAGGAATTCTGTATTTTCCTTCTATGAAGCCTTATATTCTGTCTTGTAAGATTCTGCATCAAACTTTTCCCCCGGTTGGTGCATTAAAATGTTTTTTCAGAAGAGGTTTCTTCACATGATTTCAATAAAACATAACTGTGTCAACACAAAAGAAATTTCAGAGAATAACAAAGAACAAATAAAATATTACAGATGCACTCCTTGTTTTTTTCCCGTTTATATACAGTATCTGCTTGACTTTGATTATTTTCAGCTGATGCTATTTTTTAATTAGAGGGTAAGTTAGGAAACATAGTCCAGATCAGCTGTTTTTTATCTTCATTGAACGTCTTACTGCAGATGATAAGCTAAAATAAGCTAAAATCATCCTATTAAGGTGTTGCACCACAACCTGCAAGTTTCAGATTTGCCTGTTGTTTTGGTGCATGAGCATCTCTGTACCACTTTGTACACAAAACAAGGTTGTGGTTATCTGCTTTTGCTATCTAAATTAGAAATCCGTGTAAATTAACCAATTGTTTATGGATTCATCATCATGTAGGCTAGCAGCCAACAAAAAAAAAGAAAAAAAGCACGAAAAGAAAAGTGCTCTAAAAATAAAGAACTATTGTGAAATGGGAAACAATATGAGCTATATTTACCTGTTAAAGCATAAAGCCTTCCTGTTAATGTGTTAATAATATGCACTTGGGTGGAGATTTCATATCTGCATAGAAGCTTAAACCTTTCCATGACAGTAATGTAGTTCAGAAAATGTGAATATTCAGGAATTGCACATCTTTTTTTTCGATTTTTAGAATCAAGTCTTTTGGTTCAATAAAAGCTGCTTCATCGAACATCTATTGTACTTATATGTAGGGCATCTTGTGTTTGGTTATAACCAATCAAAACATCCCTGATGCGATAAAATTGAATTCTGTGTGTTTATCATGTAAATGACAAAAAATGCCATGAAGGCTTCTGCAGTTTACATTGACTTCGCCTCTTTCCCGGTGCTGGTTTTAAGGCAACTTGCTTACACCCCTTTCCTGGCCTTTCTTAGTCGCATATTAAGTATCGCTGCATTTGTTTGGATGAAACCCACCCCTAGCAACTCAAGATTAGCTCATCCCATACAAACTTCCATTTTAATCGTAGTCCACGCATGGGAGGTTATAAAACCCGAACTATGGAAGAAGTTAAGTGCTTAGTGACACAAAAGCCCATGAAGGAGTGTGTCTGCAATCACAATCAAACATAATGAGGAAGGTGCTACTGTGCAAGTGATGGAGAGTCGCAGGTGTGCAGTCACCTGCTGTGGTAGGGCCTGTAGTGTAACTGCTGTACATGGAAAAAATACAGA